AGGCTACGGCAAAGCCTGCCAGCGCCGAGGCGCCGAGAGCGATGATTGAGGCGTGCATTTTGAAACCGAGGCTGATGGTTCTTGCAATGAGAGAGAGTGGTGATAGTGATTTAGGTTGATGGTTAAAGTTGATGGTTGTTTTGCTCCGATGACCTCCTGTGAGTTCTTTCGGGGGCACTCTATCATTTTATACAGCTTCGCTTCAACCTTGATGGAGTGTTCAAGACAGACGACTCTTCGCATCCGAAGTCAGCTTCTCATCTTTCTGCCCAGAATTGCCGCATTAGTTTGGCCGCCGCTTTCAAAAGGACTACTGCTCACAAGATCATATTGTCAATGTATTTTTGCTATCTATATGGAGATAATTTGCTGTTCTTGGGTTTGGGAGCACGTTGAACGGGCAGGCAGCAGCCATTCTCCTGTCTTTTAGTGTCCTAAACTTGGCGAGTTCGTTTACTCCCGCTGTCTTACATCGCGCTCCACATCAGGGGGAAGTACAGCTGAGTGCCTAGATGAAAGAAAAACCCACTCTCAATGATTACAATCCAAGCTTCCTTTTCTGCTACGCATGGATAGCACAGAGTCGTATGACGCAGGCAGCAATGATACGACACTCTCTCTTCTTGTATCGGCGTTTCCGGGCTCACAAACTGTCTCCATTGAGAGTCCTGACCGTCCCATGTGGTTCAAGTCCCACCTGACGGCTAAACACTTCACCCGCCAACATCGCTAACATGCAACAGCAAAACACTCGCTCAAAAGAGGTCTTCTCCGAAGACTGTCAAAAATAACAACAGATTGACCGGTTCGTCTGTAGAGTGTCAGTATTCGTTCGTCTATTCCACTTCGTTCATTTAGCTGTGAGACAACGTGAGCCCGAGTATCATCATCCTCCCTGCCGTCCGCCGATCACGCCATTGGAATTCTACCATGATGTAACTAGTCAGATATGGGCATAAGCTGAATTTCGTATTCTACAGTTACCGACGGGTTTGAAATGTACTGCAATGCTGTGAGGAGGATATGCTCGTATATACATATAAAGTAGTCCTAGACAACCTCTCTCTCTCATCGAAAATAAAGCTGTATCAGTCAGACTATCAAAGAAGTTCCACTTCTCACAAATTAGCCCTGATTCCCTAAATCCGGTCATTCATATATCTCATCACTTGCAAAAATGGTTCAAATCAAGTCCTCCGCTATGCTTGTAGTCAGCCTCATGGGCTCTATGGGACTTACAGCGCCCTCAAACCCTCCCCTGGCGACCACCACTCCCATGAACGAGACCATTAACGGGACCTCCACCGTCGATCGCTCAGCAGCAGTATGTTTTGTTTTTTTGGTGGGGGGGCGAATTCCACCTCTCTCAACTCTTCCATCCGCTGGGCACTAACACACAGCCCCTCCCCCCAGTTGGCAGGCTTCAAATGCCACAACACCATATACCCCGGTGGAATCAGGTTCAACTCTGCCACTGTCTTCGGCAACGTGGCGGCGTTTCCATCCTCAGGAGAGAAACAGGCCAGCGGCTATCCGCACGAGTTCACCAACTTTCAGAACTTTGTCTGGAAATTCAACATCTGGGCGTGCTCGCACCACACGCTGTACGAGATGCCCGTGTTCTCGGACGGTTCACTATACAAGTGGGACAAGAAGCGCGACGGACCGGGCGGACAGAATCCGGGGCCCGTGCGAGCAATTTACACACGCCCTGATGATGGGAAGGACTTTTGCGGGCTAGTTGCGCACACGGCTGGGAATGCCGGGCCATTTGCGTTGTGCGACGAGGTTTAGGGTGGAGGGTCTGCTGTGGCCTTGTTTGGGCTTGTGACTTGGTGGCGAGGATACCCAGGTAATGAACATATACATATAGAGAGGGAGAGGGAGAGGGAGAGAGAAGCGCAGTTATTACATTTATTCAAGTGTTTCGTTACGTGTTTGTACCTGGCTGCTTTATATAGACTAGGGTCGTGTTCTTCAGTACAATAATCATAACAGATTCATAGACAGGAAAGGGATTGAACCATATTTTGCTTGAATTAAAACACGAACCTATTAGAAAACATTCAACGACTTAACATAAGGTACCTTATTCTGATCCTTCAGAAATCCTCAAAGCTGTTCTTTATGACTATGAAATGGAGCTAATGTACAACGCCCCAGCTTCCCGATATATTTTCTATCTATGAGTGAAAATTAGAAAGGACTAATATTAGTGGATGCCTAAAGTCAGACCAAATCGCCAAGGTACTTGTAACGTCTGTTAACATACACCATTGGCTATTTTGGAGGTGGCAAAATATATGGAGGGCTGCATCAATCTCTATGATCTGTCTTCTTATTCGTCCGCATACATGTGCCCCCAGGTCAAGGAGGGTGGTCATCCCTCCATCAGTTTTCCCGAGGTAACACAGGACGGTGGCTGAGGAACTAATTGCGCTGTTCCCCTGCATATCAACGATGAAGTCTGCCATCCCATCTCCTCACTTCCTTTTTTTCCCTCTCTTTTTTTGATTCTGCATTTGAGAACCTTAGATTATTGCCAGTATGGATATCGCTACTATAATAGGCCTTGCCGGTAACGCCGTTCAGTTCATCGATTTCCTTGCTAAAGTATCATCCAAGACAGTCGAGATCTACAAATCAGCCAGTGGCAGCCTCGTCGAGACGACCGAGATAGCAAGCAGGTCTCAGCATCTCAGCTTCCTGCCAAAAATCGCTTGAGCTGCAACCGGAATTTTTGCCCCAGAGTCAGGCACTTGTTCAGATGTGTATAGAGTGCCGCGATGTAGCAACAGAGCTACAGAACGCACTGCACAAAGTGGAAAAGCCTCCGGAAGGCGCTTCGAAGTGTATAGAGCAAAGAAAGGTTCATGACCTCGAAGCTCGAGTCGGACGGTTCAGGGAGACAATCAATACTTGTATACTCGTGGAATTGAGGTAAGCCTTTGGTCTTTTATAATTGCTCTGCGACGTCAGCTGTTTATACAGATACTATCTATACTAGGTCAGGGACTAACACGGTCCAAAGAGGCAACGTTGCCACACTTGCCGCTATCCAAAGTGCTGCCACAGATACCTCGTCCAAGCGAATCGTCGAAGCAATCATAGAGCAAAAACATGTTTTTGCAGAGGTCTCAGCAATTCAGACAGCACAGATTGCAGATTCTGTAGAAACGAGTCTTACCAAAGTCTTACATGGTCACAAGCAAAGCATACATACCGAGATCATCGGAGCAATCGACACGGCACACTGAGCAGCTGGTCGAGCTCGATGCTATCAGAACTGACATCCAGCTGGCCGCAGACGATATCATGCAAACATGTGCCTCTGGGGATGTCGAAATCATCCACGCCGTTCGGGATTCTGTATCTCGGGTGGTAGCTTCAATAGGATGCGATATGTCGACCATCGAGAAAAGCCACCCGTCTTTGCGACAGGAGATTCGGCAAGTGTACGTTGCAGTTCAGAATCTGAATCGACAAATCCGAACCCGTGATGAGGAGTTGCAGCAATGCTTGCGGGAGATCAGAACAGCACAGGACGTGGCGAAGCGGAAAAGGCTGAGTGAACGGGGGAATGCTCGTACAGCAGGGTTGATGGCACTTGCTGTCTGTTGCGAGAGTCTGAAGGTGAGCTTCGTTGGAGTTCCACGACTAGAGAAAATAAAATGTTGACAGTTTACTTTTACCACGAAAGGAGATTCTAAGGAGCCTTCTGGAATGCGCCACAAGAGCCTTGAAGACAAATCGGCAGTGGACATCACTGAAACTCCAACCCCTTGAGCGCCAAGAGGAAGACGATATGATCTTACTGGAAACACTCGCTTCGATGCCTATTTCGCCAGTCACTACGACATCTTCGGCTGCGAGCGTTTGGTCGACGCGGTCAAAATGAAGACCAAATGGCCAGTCAAAGCAGGCCATGAGGCAACTGAAGATGAGGGCGAAGAAGAATCTTCCGCTTTCTGGGTCATGGCATCAATCATTGCTGCTGCTGATCTGGTCACCGGCTGCCAAGCTATGGTCAACTCGGCAGTAGACGAGGTTCTCAGAGCAAAGAGCTCCGTGGGCTATGCCATTCCATGGATTTCAAGCGCAAAAGGGTTACCACCAGCAGCTCAGCATTCGGGGAGACCGAAAATCGACACTCAGCCCAACTGCGCAAGGACGTTTATCGTTGGCGACGATTCGCTTCCTGTCGAGGGTTGGACTGCTTATCACAGCCCAACTGTTCTCAGTCTCAAACTTCTTCTTTTCCACAAGAGAAGAACGAACATGGCAATGTGGTAAGATGGCAGCCCAGTTTCGGCGACAGCGTTTTCCAACCAAAACAGGAGGTTCAGGACGTCCTAATATGGCAGCTAGACTTTGGTGGACACGTTCGACAAGCACTCAATATTCATACAACATGGGATGAAGAGCAAAGTCACTCAAGCAGGATGAGACAGTACCTCCAAGAGCTTGGGATACGTCATCCAGGCTGACAATAATGATACTTGCCTTGAAATGGAACGTAAACAAACCCCTGTTTGACTCCAACCAAAACGTCCATGTTCAGTTTTTTCAAATTATAACCTATCACCCCAATTATCATATAAAATTTCCGGTTTGCCCCCATCCCTCCATTACGAGCTTCAGCCATATCGAGTCATTGTTGAACCTGGGGTTGCAATTTGGAACTCCCCTGTGATGATTATTTCCCTTTGTTTGCACCGCACGCCTGCCATACTCCTTCGTCTAGCTTGCGATTTTCGTTATATAACATTATAAATATCATACCCATAGATTCTCCCAATGGCCCTTCTTATCTACGTCGTTGCACTGCGTACTTCAAACACCGACTCGCTGCATGGCCCATATTCAACCCTAACCCTAACAATAAAATATCACCTCAAAACCTACACTAGCGCTGCGCAGTTTACACAACCAATCAATCATAATTACGGGCTGACAAACCCATGACTCCATTGGATGTTGTCCACTGGCAATACTCCTAGGGCCCGCTGGCCAAATGGTAAGGCATCTGATTTCGGTTTCCATCTCTTGCGAGAAGAAGTCTCTCAGAAGATTGTGCGTTCGAGCCGCACGTGGGTCGATTTTTATTTTTGCCCTATCCAACGTAGAGCTCTACATGATGTTTGGTCAATGATGATTTTGCATAAGATCACATAATATTTGAAACCACCATATCAAGTTTTATGTTATCCACTTCACCTTGCTTTACTTTCAAGTTGCACAGTTTCAAGTAGTGTCAGTTAAATAAACGACTGTTTGTTGTATTATCACATCATTATTTGACTATACACATAGTCATTATCTCCATCCAACGTTGTGAACCATCATTCATCATCACCCATTATTACCTATTATTATGACTTTGTCCTCAAGGCACAATTAAACTGAGCGACCGAGTGAGCGAGGGTATCTTCGTTGAAAACAAAAAAGCCATGAAAACCGAGTAGTGAGCGAAGACAATGAAAGTTGGCGGCATTATTTTGGTTTTGGTTTTTCTTCTTTTTCTTTTTCTTTTTCTTTTTCTTTTTCTTCCCGGGTCCCTCTTTTGTGCACATGCACGACGACCACAGCTTGCTGGAAAAGGGTAAGAGGGGGATGAAGCTACCTTACTCTTCAAACAGACAGTTTAAAGAGTCAAGCGGTCAATCTCTCTTCGCCATGTCCCCTTGTTAGACGCAGAGGGTCTAGACGGCAGCGGCAGCCGGGGTGGCCGTCGCCGGAGCAGTCTCCTTTTCAGGGAAAGTGCCGGGGGCGGCGTGGACACGGCCGTACTGGGTGAAGGCGATGTTAAGCCTGCCGTAGTCCCACCTGCGCGAGAGGTAGACGGTGGCAAACGAAAGGACGGGGATCATCAGGACATCCAGGATGCCGAAGAAGATGAAGCTGGGCGTGATGCCGATCTTGTTGCCGCCGTCGGAGAGGCCCCAGGCGATGGGGTAAAGCAGCCACAGGAGGTTCAGCCAGCCAGCCAGGGCGGTATAGTGGCCGCTGACACCGACGCGGAAGGCGGAGCGCCGACCCTCGACCAGAGTGTGGAACGCCAGGAAGAGGTAGGCGGCCGTGCCGAAGGCGAAGAAGCCCCATTTGTAGTTTGTCATGGTGTAGGCTCCGACAAGGTAGCAGATAACCCAGATCCAAGAGAGAGCAATGTTGAAGAAGATGGTGGTCCAAGCGACGCTCGACAGGACGCCCAGGGCGAGTATAGCGGCTGGGAATGTTACAACCCAGAGAACGTACTTGGGGAAGAAGATCTGCCGAGTGTAGCCGTTATCCCTGTTGTTGGCTTGGAGAATCTGAGACCATCCCAGGTCAGATGCCATGGCGAAATAGGCGATAACGCCGACGAAGTTGGCGACGATGAAGACATAGTGGAAGAACCGCTCTCCGGCCCTCGCGGTAAACGTCAAGGCATACAAAGCCAGCTATAACACGGATAGAGAGGTATGGTTAGCTTGCGGCTGACGTCTGGAGCTGAGTGGAAGGCCTTACAAGAGACACGGCGAAGACAGCGGTAACGGCAAAGAGCCAGTCCGATCCCTCGACGGTTAGCGCCTGGTCGCTCCCGGGCCGGTTGATCTCCAGGGCTTCGTTCCTTCGGGGGTAGATGATGGCCATGATGAAGGTCGATGGGTCAACGTATGGGTTGGTACTCTATAATATTCACACGCTCGCTGGATGGTTACAGAAAGGCGGAAGCTCTAGGGAGACTGAGATGGGAGAAAGAATATATCCAGACAATGGCGGGATGGGGAGACGGTCTTATATCCCGGCGGATGTTACAACGGCCATCATGCGTATAGATACCAACGTCTGGACAGGAAGAGGGGGAGCATTCGGCTCGACGAAACTTCTCGAATGCCGAACACTCCGCACGCACGGACAGAAGATCGGAGGGCGACTGAATAATATCGCAAGAAAGAGAAGCACGGGATCACTAACAGCCCATGCTGCTATTGGTCGACCCGTCTCCAGAATCGACTGATACAGGACAAACGGCCAGGGTGGAGGAAGCCAGCCACTCGGTCAGTGCATTTCCACCAGTCTCCTGCCGGTCAGGAGACACTTCTGCCCCGGATCTGGGTACGAGAAGGACGATGAGTAGGTTTGTAAAGACCCATCCATTCCACCATTAACAAACCTCAGCGTCTTTCAATAGGCACCATTTTTTTTCCCTGTTAAAGTTGTCTCGAAGGGACAAAAGACATGGCTCATACATCGAAAGTATTCCGGTAGTTATCAGCAGCATAAAAGATATCTCCATGGGCGGATAGAGCCCTGCTGCCGTCAAGAAATTCTTATTTCTAAGCATCGTTGTTCATTGCTAAATGCATGCGCCGATCGTCACTCGGAATTCTCGGACAATAAGTTGAACAAGAGTGGAAATGAGAACCAGGGCTGAAATGAATGGCGCTGATCAAAGAAAACGAGAGAGAGCATCAGAAAAAGGCACATGATGGCCATGTGATCGGGTTGAAGCGGGATTGAGTGTGTAGGTAGTTCAGGTAAAGAGGGGAAAAGAAAATGTTCACATCATCATGTTTGGATAACCGCCATTCGCAGTTTACTGGAAATGTCACACAGGTCAGTCAAACATCAGGAGAGGCTCATCACACCGACCGAATGTGCCGAACATGCTGCCTCGTCCATTCAAGACGCGAGGCGAACGAACAAATGAGAGCGAGTTTTCCTGGGGTGGCTCCATACGCTAATGCCGGTACGTACTGAACTGTTTGTTCCCGAATTGGGCGAGGTGCTTTAATAGACCTGATGTTTGGAATCGAAGAAAATCGAAAAGATCGAGTGACGTTGTGTGGTCATGCCCCCCTTCCAAAGTTTTCGAGGTTACGTCCGAGCTTGCCCATTGGTTGTCACCACTGCTCTAGAACTAGCTGCTGCTCTCCCGCCCCGCCCTAGCATTCCAGGCCCCCGTTAGGAGCCCCGCAGCAATACCTTTCTCGTTACACAACTCACATCATCGAATCCAAGAGATCACCACATCGATGATACATCGAACCCCCTATATGTGCACAATCTAGCTCGAGAAGACAAAATAAAAAATTTTTAATTCAATATTTAAAAAAATTGCCTTTTTACAGGACACGATCTAATGCTTGCTCAAGTTAAGAGGGAGAAAATGCACCGCTTGACGAGCTATAAGCAATCCCATCGAAGACCCCGTGCCTTCCGGAAGAGATGTGGGTGTGCCTCCATGCCTCGGGAGCCGTTCCGTCATCTGCAATGCACCTCGGCCATTTCCAACCACCCTCGTCTTTCCTGGGGGTGTGGGAAGGAGGAGGTGGAGGAGGATAGTAAACTCACCCACTCCCAAACCCCCTCTCTATCCATATAATCTACAAAACTCTGACTAAGCTGCGAATATATGTCAAGTTTCGGTTCATTATCGACCCGCGCTGGTGCTGCTCAGTCATCCGCCTCGGTAACACACGCTCATCCCGGCCCTTCCTTTGACCTGTTTGTCCCGTGTTCCCCATTATCAAATATCTTCTTTCTGCTGGCCCTTTTGGTTTCTCCCTATGAATGCTGTTGGTTTATGGTATAACCCGAATGCTGGTACATGATGTTTGCTACTCCTCGCAATGAAAAAGAGGTAGGGAAATAGAGAACAGATGTGTAAAGGGCAGGTTGGACTGTTGGCGAACATAAGTCCCTTCTTCGGTTTCCGCTGGCGAGGGGCCCAAAGCAATCCACTTGCGCTGAAGGTGAGTATTTTTTTTTTCCTTTCTCCTTTTCGTCATGTTTTTTATGCCTCAATGCCAAGCATGCCGCTCACCCGGCACCTAGCTGCGGTTGCTGCTGCTGCCACTGCCATTGCTGCTGCTTCCGTTACTGCTGGTGCTGCCTCCATGGTTGTTGTTCTTGATATGCTCCGCGGCCTCCTTTGCCTTCTGGCGCACCTCGAGATCACAATCCGCTTGCTCCATCCCCTCAAGCTTGGCCAAGAACCCGAGCTTTTTGAGCTCTTGTGCCCGCTGGTAGGCGGCCTGGAGATCAGTGGCATCGTCCTGCTTCCACACAATATTTATGAAGAATTGGCAGAGCGCTCGCCGCACGCCAATGTCTTTATTACTGAGGTGGTGGCCGAGCTGCTTAATGAGCTCCGTCTGCGCGATAACCAGCTGCCGGTGACGCGGGACGCTGGCCACGATGTGCACAAGGAGATAGACGACCGCTGTAATGATATTGGCTTGCGGGTACAAAACCCGAGACTCGCTGTTCAGCCCGCCCCGCGCCGAAGACCGTCGGGCGAAGGGATGCAGGACCCTGACCCGTAGCTTGGACGCCAGTATGTCAAAGAGACGGCCCTCGCCAAGTTCGCTGAACACGTAGTCTACCATGTCCGTGACATCTTCTGTTGGTGGGCCTGTAAGATTTCGGATAAAGTTTATCGCCTGTTCTTGGATCGCCAGATCATCGTTTCGAGCCTTTCTCGTGGGGTTGACTTCTTGTTCGCGAAGGGTTGCAAGCTTAGCTTCCACTTTCTGCATTCTCGGGGAACTGGCAAATCGGCGAGAGCTCCTGCTATAGCCGGTGTCTCGGTGTATGGCCGGCCAGAGCCACGGCTTGCTGTTATCTTCGTATGGCGAAGAGGACGCAGATCCCGCCGCCGCCGAGGATGTCAGTACCTCAGTATCCATATCCTCATCATTGTCGGCGTCGGGAAAATCTCGCTGTTCCTGCATCATGCGAGCATGGAGCGCTTCATCTTCCGTGTCGTCGCATATAAGCTGAATAAGCCAGCCTGACTCTAGTTCCTCAAGGGCATCTTTCTTGGTTTTGATGTCGGCCCCTTGCACCATGTGCTTGAGTGCCCACAACGAGTTCAGTCGAAGTCCCGGATTCAGAGAATGCGCGTGTTCACAGAGAATCTTCAGTATTCCGGCGTCGAGGAGGGTCTGGCTCAAGTTAGCAAGTGGCGCCGGGATGCGTGAAGTGAGGTGCTACCTTTCGCATGGGGCTGACGCTAGTCAACAAGTTGCAAACGGCACTGCATGCTGCAATTTGAACCTCAGCATCTGAGTGCCTCAGGAGCCTAAAAATAGGCATTGCAACCTTGTTGTC